TGGAACTCCACACGTGATTATCACTGATGAGGGGTCCCACTTCTGCAACAAAAATTTCACAACCCTGATGAAGAAGTTTGGAATTCAACATAGAATGTCAACTCCCTACCATCCATTGACCAATGGTCAAGCTGAGATTTCCAACCGGGAAATCAAGAGGATTTTGGACAAGGTTGTCAGTGTCAACAGAAAAGATTGGGCAGGAAGATTAGATGAGGCTTTGTGGGCTTACAGAACTGCCTACAAGACTCCAATAGGCATGTCACCATTCAGGCTTGTCTATGGGAATGCTTGTCATTTACCTGTTAAGCTGGAGCATAAAGCCTACTAGGCCATAAAAGAGCTGAATTTTCATGAGGGATTTGTCAAGGACAAAAGACTGTTGCAACTCTGTGAAATGGAAGAATTCAGGAATGAGGCTTATGAATCTGCCAAGCGGTACAAAGAAAAAACAAAACCCTATCATGATAAGAAACTGGTTAAGTAAGAACTGAAGGAACGTCAGTTTGTGTTGCTGTACAATTCCAGGCTGAAACTTTTCCAGGGAAGCTGAAGCCCAGATGGTTTGGTCCATTCAGAATAAGGAAAATTCTCAGCCAAGTAGCTGTAGAATTGGAGAACATAGAGAGTGGTAGAACATTCCTGGTGAATGGACAGAGGTTGAAGCATTACAGAGGATTGCATAATTAGGAGGTTATTTAGGAAACTCATGTCTTGAGCCTTATTGAACCCCACTAGACCACTGCATAGTCTGGCATAAGACTATAAGCTGTGCACTTCATGGGAGGTAACCCATGTTCCTTTCCTTTTAGTTTGTTTTTTTTTGTTTGTGTGATTTCATTTTTCTTGTTTTATGTGTGTGTTACCATGTGTAGAAAAGATTTCATTATCACCCTAATTTATTAGGTGATCCAAAAATGCAGCAGATTCTGATATCAGTCACTCTGGAGAGTGAAATTGGTCACTCTCCCAAGTGTTCCCGCAATAAATTGAGTTGTTGTGACTGGTTTTCTTTCAATCTCTTTTAGTCTACATAGGATCTGTGCTTTATTTTATGTTTGGGGGAATTGATGTCTACTCTGTTCATGCATGATTATTGTTAGTTTATTTTGTTTCCAAAATACGTATGGGAATTTTGAAAACTGAACATGTTGACTTTAAAATTTTGTGTGTTTAATGCTGAAAGTTCTGAGGCACTTTGGGAAATGACTTTTGTCACTCGAGAAAGTGATTCTGAACCTACTTGATGTTTGAAGTCAATTTGTTTCCTTTAAAGACCCACCCATATATTTTCCCTCCATGTTTTCTTTCTTCTAGATTCTTGTGACATCTTTTGTATGTCATATCCCTTAGTAGCTTGTTGATTTTGAAATTTTGTGTGCTTAATGTGTACATGCTATGACTTTAGTCTGGGGTAAAATTGTGATTATCTTTTCGAACATTGATGCCATATCTAGCAAGTTTTGTGATATATTTCAGAATTAGCATGTCTAATTGCATATGAGTGACCTAGTTCTATTTTGAGTTACGATCTTAAAGGCTGAATTTGTTCTTGTAACTGTGGTACTTCTAGTTTGTTGGTCTCTTTGGTCTCTGTGCTTAACTATATGAACCAAGAAACTTTATGAGCTTAATTTCTAATATCTTTAGTCTGTGTTTCAAAGCTAACCCTTCGTATTTGAGGAAGACCTTTTGTTGTGTGACCTTATTGGTTTCCAGTTACAACTTTGGCTTGGCAATACGAGAATGTGACAAATTTTTGTGTGGAGTATTCACTGAAGCTAGCTGGAATGGAATTCTTCAACCACAACTGAGAGTTTACAACAACTCAAACTCTTATGATTCAATCTCAGCAGCAAGAAATCCACCTTACCCATTTGAAGGGATGAACCCTGATCACCAAGGGAAGTACTCTGTTACTCCTTCTTTTATTTGTTTTCTTTCTCTATAGTTGAGTCTTCTTCTTTGTCTGTCTGTGAGTCAGTTATGTAATCTGTAGAGTCTTAAAGTCATTTCTTTGTCTTAATTTGTCTATTTTTCTTATCGAATTCATGATTATTCCATGTGTCTGTGTTTCAAGCTTTCCCTGTTTCTGTGATGCATTCAGAACAATGCTAACATTATGTTTGGGGGAGCTAGTGTTTGTTTCTTTGTGTGTTTTTGTTGTGTTGCAAGCTTCTCCTATTGTTTGCGTATTCGAATTCTACTCATTGCAAGCTTGGGGGAGCTTGTGTCTGTGTGTCTGTACTGTAAGAGTCATGACAGGTTTTCTCCTTTCTTATACAAAAAAAAATGCTTTTTATGAGTCCTTTACTGGCTTTGGTTTTGTTTGTAGAATGTTTCAAAACTAGTTGAATATCAAAGTCTGGAATTTGCAATGGTCTAGAATGAATCAGAATGTGCAGAAATTTTTAAATTACCCATGTGATTCACCTTAAGAAAGAGTATGCAGTTCATTACCACTTGCATGAGCACACCATATCACTGGACAAAGTGTATGCTTTAGGCTTAAATTCTGAAATCTTGAATACATAATTATTGTTGTGATCTTGTACTAGAGTCCACTTATCTGAAACTTTGGGGGACTGTAATTCTGAGTGAAGACTAAGGAGCCCTTCAGATCATGGCAGACTCTGTAAGAACCCATGGTGGTCTGTAAAAAGTCCAAAACCTTGGGAAAGGGGAATAGTAGTAGGCGGTTAAAATGAGCTGAAAAGAAAAATATGAAATGAGGGAAGTTAGGAAAACTGTCCAATGAGGCAATAATACCCCTGAGTGTTTAGGTTATCAATAGAGAGATTCGTCAGACCTGGTGAGGAAATATGAGAAAAATAAATAAACTACCTTAAATTGCTGAGCCACTGTGAGAAATTACTAGAAAGTGGAAATATGCTCTGGGTGAAATACCCTATGTTGGTGAGCCACTATGAATAAATACTAAGTGGAAATATGCTCTAGGTGAAATGCCCTAAGTTGCCGAACCACTATCAATAAATACTGAGTGGAAATATGCTCTAAGTAGGGGCCTCAGTGGGAAAGATCCAAAAGAAAAGCCATATGGAAAAGGAGAAAAAAGGGTTGAGGGAGAAATATGATGCATCCAATGTTGCTGCAAAATCTGTGAGGAAGTCCTTAGAATCTAAAAATCTCAGTGAAAATACCCTAGTTGATGGCATGTAGGAAATAGGTACTGATCAAAACAAATGCCCATTTGAACTTAAATGAATCTAATCTTAGAATGGATTATAGGATAAGCTGCATTTTTGTTTGTGATATGGTACACTCACACACTAGTTTGCACTATTTTATTCTGTCTGAATGGTGATGATCTTTGGTGTAAATGTAGATGATCTGACTCTGAGATAATTATTTGACAATTCCAACTATGATTTCTTCTTTGTTTTGTCATTGTTCTGCCCAAAATAAAACCTGAATCACTTTGGGAAGTCGGTTTTTCACTCACCCAAGTGAAGTACGTTTTTCTTTGTTGAATTTCTGTTTTGTATTATAGCATTGGGGACAATGCTATATTTAAGGTTGGGGGGGGGGGGGAGGGAGTGGTAGTGTTAGGTCAATGTTTATGTATTTGAAGTCTTTTTAATAGTTTATTAGGCTGATTTTTAGGTGAAAAAAAAAATCATGCATCCTTGTGTGTGTTCTCTTCTTCTTGTCTTACTTCTTCTGCAGGTGTTTGTCCTTCTTTTTCTTCTAAGTCTAATATTTCCAAAAACTAGTGTTAACCTTCAACCATCGTTCCTTAGTTAAACACCTTAAAGCATGCAAGTGGTGATCAAATATTCACATGAAATAAAAACAAGAATATTAAATATTAATTAATGAAAAAGTCACAATATCAAATAAATTAAATAAATCAAATAGTACGACGGCTACACCAAAAACCCAAGATTAAATAGTTTAGCTACACATCATTTCAAAAATAAATAAAACAATGAAACCCAGGTGAAGTCGGCCAAAAGTTGAGTCCCAAGTTGCTTGCTTCCTCCTCTGATGATGTGCGTGGGTTTGGTGTGGTGAATGGTGGCGTGGAGAAGAGGTGATGGTGCTTGGTGCATGGGGGTGTATGGCGTAGAAAGGTTGGGTGATGGAGGCTTAGGGTGGTGAAGGAGGGAAGTTTGGTGCGTGAAGTGGGGCTAAGGGTGCTAATGGTTTTGTGGCATGAGGGTGGTGGTTTTGTGGCAGTTCTGAGCTGGGGAAGAGGTGATGGTGTAGACGATGTATATTGTATGGGAGGTGCTATTAGGTTCGGTGGTGGAGTGGAGGTGGGGGGTTGATGGTGTGTGGAAGGAGTTTTTTGGTGATGTGTCGTGGGGTTAGGCTCCCAAAATACAAAAGCCTTGCTCCTTTTTATAGCCTTTCTTTAATCCAAATTTCTTAAGGAACAAGAAACTTAATTTAATTGCCATTTTTTCACCACTTTAACTCCTCAAGTCTTGAAAATCTCGACGTTCTTCATCTTTAATTGCTTTCATCTTCAATTAAGTCTGAAATTCCAATAATTCATCTTTTAATCTTCATGAAAAGAATTTGTTTCATGCACATCATTATTAATTTAACTAAGCACCAAATTCAACTCGAAGATATAAATTCTTTTTAAAAGCTGATGAGGGTCAAAATATACATATTCCTCAATCATATTTAGCCTCCTTATTACTAGTAAAATAAGTCTAAATAGATAGGATTTGTTTAATTTTACTTATCTTTTGTGTTTTTGGGTGATCAAGGTGCTGAAATTCTAAATGGAACAAAATATGAGCTAAAATGAACAAAAAGAGCAAGGTTTTAGAAGATTGATATCACTCGAGCAAGTGACCAACTTCACTTCCCCAAGTGACTGCTGTTGCTGCTGCTGATGGTACACGCCGCACAAACGTGATGCCCAAGAATCAGATTTTGGAAGTTTTATGGAAACTTGGAGGTGAAGCAAGGAGGCTGATTTTATTATTGCTAACTTTGTGGCTGAAAAGGAAGAGAACAAGAAGATGGAGACAATTGCTCAAATGGCCAAGTTGCTCCACTTGCTTGTCAAGTTGACAACTTACCAAGTTGCTCATTCGGTGGAGATTAAAATAGTAAAAGTGGCCTCCTCCAAGGTCTATATATAGACCCAATCAGCTACAAGAATGTATGAATCAATTAGATTAGGAAGAGAATTAGATATAAACACAAAGGGGTGTTAGAAGCAGCTAGGAGTAGGAGGTTCTGCCTGCCACTCGGGAGAGTGAGAAGACTCACTCGAGGGAGTGACCTGGTGACAGCAGCAAATTCTCTAAGTTCTTCTCTCCTTCTCTTAGTTGTTTCCTTGTTTTGTATTGATGTTAAATGCCTAGAAATGCATTCTTGTGTATTTGTATCTCTATATATGTATAGCTAAACTCTCTCTAGGGTCTAATCCCTCTTATCTGTACAAGTATGTTTTGGTAATGTTCCTATATGATTTATTGTTTCTAGTTTAAGTGATTGAAATAACCTTTTAATTAGCCGTGACAATTAGCTAATTGTGCATGCATGCTATGGAACCCAGGCCCAGTGAACATAGTGTAGAACTGCTTAAACAAGTCTATGATAGGGGGAATGACAACTTATGATTTTAAATAACAAGGATACTTAGTTATTTGACATAGATGATCACATGAGGCTTAGGTATTTTATGCCTTCGTATAATTTGAAATCAACAAAGAGTTGGTTTGAAATACTAAGAGACCTTCTGGAATAATTACATGAACCTTTAGATTCACGTGTGTCAGATCAGACATAATTCGTATATGCAAAAGGAGCAAATAAAACCATAATACAATTGTGTAGAGAAGAGTGGAGGATGACCCTAGGTTCCGTTTCTGTTTAACTTTCTGTTTACCAGCCAAGAAGTGTGGCCGCCAGGTCTGTTTCGCGATGAGTGGCCGAGGAAGTGGACGTCACTTTAGGCAAGGAAGTCGGTTGCAACATCCGTTTCGAAGATTGCTGCAGTGGAAAAACGGTGTTAAAGTATTTAACAAACGAAATGCTTTTACGAGAAGCGAGGACAGACCCACTCCTGGAGAGATACAAAGCTCACGTGCGAGGATGTGCTTTCCGGTTGCTTAAGGAATTGTTAATAAACCGACTTGATATGAAACTTATTGTTATGAGTGCAACTCTTGAAGCAGAGAAATTTCGGGGTTATTTCAATGGTACTCCACTTATGAGAGTTCCTGGGAGACTTCATCCGCTGGAGATTTTCTACTCTAAGCAACGAGAGAGGAATTATCTCGCGGCCGCGATTCAAACGGTTGTGATGATCTACATGTACGAACCTCCTGGTAATGTGATTCTTTTCTCACCGGAGAAGAAGAGATTGATGAGGCATGTCGAAAGATAACGAAAGAAGTTGGAAATTTAGGAGGTCAGGTAGCCAGACCGGTTAAAGTCGTTCCTCTACACTCCTCATTTCTGACAGCTTTGCAGCAGAGAATTCACGAACCGGCTCCATCCCGTTAGTGGAAGGCAGTCCGGCCGGTCGGAAGATTATAGTTTCGGCTAACATTGCGAAAACTTCCTTGACTATTGATGGAATAGTGTATGTTGTGGATCCTGGTTTTTCAAAACAAAAACTATACAATCCTCGAATTCGGGTGGAATCTCTGTTGGTCTCTCCGATACCGAAAGCGAGTGCTCAACAGCGCGCCCGGCACGCTGGAAGAACACAGCCTTTTAAATGTTATAGGCTTTATACCGAAAAGGGTTTTAACACAGGCCTAGAGGCGCAAACTTACCCAGAAATACAACGCTGGAATTTGGCGAACACGGTTCTTATCTTGAAGAAACTTGGTATAAACGACTTGGTCCATTCCGATTTTGGGGATCCTCCAGCTCCAAAGACAATAACGAGATCTCTGGAAGTGTTAAATTACTTCGGCGCCATTGATGATGAAGGAAACCTCACAAAGTTAGGTCGAATCATGAGTGAATTCCCGTTAGATCTGCAGATGTCGAAAATGCTCATCGTGAGCCCGGAATTATTCAACTGCTCGAACGAAATTCTAACGATATCGGCCATGCATTCGGTTCCAATCTGCTTCGTTCGGCCTAGAGGAGTCGTTTTAGCTATGTTGAGAGTATAACTTAGTCCCACATGGATAGTTGAAGACTCTCTTGAAACCAATATATAACTACATGTGCTAGTCTCCTTATAACTAATTGGTTTAAAGGTAGTATCACATGTGGGCCTATATTTAGGCTTTCAAGAGTCTCCAACTATTCATATGGGACAAGGTTATACTCTCAACAAGCCACATTGAAGGCGATCATCTCACGCTGACAAACGTATACCAGCATATAAGCAGAACAATGACAGCCCACAATGGTGTTACGAGAATTTATCACAGGTCGCTAAAACAAGCCGACGATGCGCGACAACAGCTGTCGCAGATCATGGCAAGGTTCAACCTCAAGTTATGCAGTTCAGATTTCAACAGCGGCGACTACTATGTGAATATTCGGAAGGCGATATTGGCCAGGTATTTCATGCAGATGGCTCATTTGGAACGTAAAGGACAGTATTTGACAGTTAAAGATAATCAAGTTGTACAGTTGCATCCTTGGAAATCCCTTGATCATAAACTGGAATGGGTGGTTTACGATGAATATGTATTGACTAGCCGGTTGAGATAGGGCCTCATCATTACAATTTGGCGGATTTCCCGAATTGTGAGGCCAAGCGTGTTCTTGAGAGGTTATACAAGAAACGGGAGAAAGAGAAGGAAGAAACCAAAAGCAGCTGGAAGTAAAAGTCCATCTTTTTTGAGACTTTGATTCGAAACATTCAATATCTGAGTTCTAGTTTCATGTTGTAATTGTAATCATTGTGTATTTTTTATGGCTTGGATCTCAAAGCTTTAATCTGTGAATCAATTCCTATCATCGTTAATGTTTAATATTCATTTAAACTAGAGGGATATATCATCGCTCTTACATACTATATTTGTTTACGTAAATGTTGTTTCTTTTTAATAATGAACATTGAACAAGGTCCTTGCACGGTCTTAATTTGCCCAAAATTTTCCAGTGCCTTAATTATTTATCTAGAAGGGTTCCTGTTGTTTATGAAATCATAAACTAATTAAACAGGATAATAATGCAGATCCATCAACCGTGTGTCGCCTGCTACATATGCTTAATGCTTCTTTTTTTAAAAAAATAATTTTTTTTAAAAAAAGAAAAATAGTAAATAAAAATGAACTAGAAGAACCTATATTCCAAATAAATAAATTCAAATTTGAAAGGACCATTCTGATTCTAAGCATGTAAGATAAAAACCCTTCTAATCGGTTTTCTTCATCCATTTCAATCTTCTGCTTCTCTGTCGCCACCTCCGCCGCCGTTTAATTTAGCTTTATAAGCAATTAGTCTAGCGGTTTTGATCTTCACTTTCTCAATAAATCAGGTGCATCTTATGTTCTCTTGGATAGTTTTTCTTTTTTTGATCAATTAGACGTGCTCTGATCACTGATGTTGTTTATTCATTTAACTTTGTTCACATTTCTCTATCTTTTCATATCTAACTATTTCATAATCAAAAGTTTCTGCAAAATAGATTTATAATGTTAGCGAAACTTCAACATTTTGACCTGTCAAGTTCCCTTTCCGTTTTTTGAAGTTCTAAGACAACTAAACATTAGTAATAGAGGCAGTAAAAACTCAAAATGAAAAATAATAGTTTCTGATGTATGCAAACTAAATAAGGATAAAGGTGAAAATTTAAAAAGGAAAAATATAATTTCTACCGGAAAGTACCACCAAAAAATGCAGGACCAAATAAGTCATAATTTCTTTTAACTATATATTTGTTACTATGCATATTATTTTCCTACAACTAAATCAATCAGGTTGTACGTCAATTGATTTAATCCTGAAGGTAACTGTGCCAAGTGCGGGTAAGGTGATCATTTAGCAATATCAAGTTATCATTTACAAAGTAAATTAATTTAAATGAGTGATGCTTTGCATTATTAACACTTTTGTGACCTATATCCCGGTAATTCCACTTTTTATGAACTTCAGTTTGATGTTAACTATAATACAGTTAAATTGTAATCGGATTACACTTATAGAGTTGAACATACTAAGAAAATTAAAATACATATATACCCTTTACTTTATTAACTGTATCCGATTCAATTTTTCTGTAAGTTATGTTCTCGGGATGATAAAATCAACCAGATTATAAGGATCAATTAAAGATATAATCATTTTGACGTAAATATAAATGCACATACTGAATTTGATCGATTTATGCCTCCATGTGCACATACTCGCCCTGAATTTGCACGATTTGATTGATGCGCACGTTTTAAGATCCAGTTCAATAGTATGTAATTGATTAAGGAATTGCGTTGATAGAAAAACAAGTAAACCAAAATGAATAAAGTATGCTATTTTTCTCTAAAATAAATAAATAAATAAAAATAAAGTATACTAATTACAAAGCCATTTGGGAGAAGAAAACCGAGAATGAACTTCAGAAAAAATGAGGTTCCCATAATCCTCACGTGACAATATCGTGGCTAGGTTTCGGTGAGGACGATGACGTGATGGAGGCGCAACCGATATTCTTTAGATTGCCTGCTGGATCGATGTAGGTATAGAATTTTCCTACATAAAATCGATTGATTGATTGATACATTGAGATTCATCCGTCATGAACTGAACTTGTAATTTTAGTTTCTTATCGCACACACTTGACCTCCTTATTGGCCTTGTGGTTAAAGAACAAATTAGGTCCTTTTATCAATAAATTAATTTTATTTTCATTTGGTAAATAAGGAGTAATTAATGGTTTCTTTTTTGTGCTTGAAATATAATCATGGTTGGTTCATGTAGCTTTTGTTGCATTGTTTTCCATTTGTATTAATTTTATATTTATAATATCACAGAGTTTCGTATCTGTAAAAAAGAAATTTATGAATCCACAGGTGGTAGTGTTGTTTTTTTCCAGCAGAAATTTTTTTTTTAAAAAAATAATAAATTAAGAAGCACAGAGCTAGCACGTTGCGGAAACTTATGTGTCCTTCGACTACATTGATCTACGAGTCCTTATACATATGAAACTCCAAAATTTTAGGCCTTAGTAATTCTTTTTTGTCTATGTTCACAACGTAGATGCATTAATGGGTGTAGGAGCTTGTTGATGAAGACTTAACTTATAATTGGTGATTCAGGATTTCCGTTTCAAAAAGGATGATCCAGGATTTAGGACCCTTCAATTGTCTAAATCCAGATGTGAACCGATTCAATCTAGATGAGAAGGAGCTGCCCTTTCCTGTTGCACGGAAACATTTGGAAGAGTTAAAGCAACAATGAACTTCAGAAAAATGAGGTTTCTAAGGCTAAATAAAATCGTTGCTTTCATTATTAGCCATCTTGCAGCTGGAACTGAAAGGAAATCATTACCTTTAAATATCGAATTTTTTGATTTTTGAATTTTTATTTAAGTATAGGCATAAAACTAAATTCATACAAATGAAGTTTTGATATACGTGGAAAACCCCAATAGAGTTGAAAAATGGATTGTGATATGTATTGTGCAAATTACAGTAAAAAAAAAAAAATTGTCTTAGACCAATTACTCTGAGTGCAGGTTTAGTGCGAAATATGGGCAGTATAAATCATTTGTACATATAATTTGGTTTTCATAATCAAATATATTCCTCTTACCGACACTTCAAATTATTATTACCCATTAAGTTATATTTTTTTGATTTTCCTTTCGTGATTAAGTTATATGTTCTCATACAATTTCATAAATCTCAGATTTTACATCATTAGATTTATTGAGTAGACAATATCAAGAGTATACTACTAAAATACATGTACAATATATATGACCATTTGATAGGGTTCCATTAATTAAGAGTATACTACTAAAATACATGTACAATATAGATAACCATTTGATAGGGTCCCGTTAATTAAAAATATAATCCGGGCACAATTTATAAATTTGCATAATTTATGCCTCCGCGTATATATATGGAGTTGCCCTGGATCCTAAAACCTCATTTGCACGATTTGAAACATTTGGGCATTTTAAAATCCAGTTGAAGGGTTTAGTTTCAGATGGTTTAAAAAAGATCTACGAGGTACCAAATTAATAATCCCTTATACATTTCAAAATTCCAAAAATGTAGGCCTTAATTCTTTTTTGTCTATGTTAACAACACATGCATGGATATGGGTGTGAGACTTAGAATGTAGGATTTAGAACCACGATTATCGAAACGAAACCGAATGTGAACTGATTCAATCGAGATGATAAGAAGTTGCCCTTTCTTGTTATATTGAAACGATGGTTAAAGGAGCAGTGTTGGCGCAATGTATTAAAAGATCAGACACTAACTAATATAGTACTTTCGTACCAAAATAAAATAGTTTAACAAATATAAGTCCCACTTATTTGTATTAACATATTTCGCAATTGATGTATAAATAGAAGAGTGCTGCCATCAGTTTAGGCTAACGATAAAACAAACTCTGAACTTCTTCGTAGAGAGCTACCGGTTTATATAGCTGATAAACGGAGGTTGTTTAAATTTCGATTCCAGACACTTACCATTTTTTGTTTTATAATCATTAATTTTTATTTTTGAGTGATGGTGCACATCTCACTTAATTTATCTCACTATTTCGTCTCACCCTATATGGCATTTAGTTATTGGATTAAACTTAATAAATTAATTATAATTATTAGATAAAATCGAATAAGTTAATTAAATTTTTTTTTGTTACGTTTATATACTTTTTGAATACTTTTATATCTAAATTTTAATATAAATAGGCCCTAACCTCGAAAAAAATAAATCCTTTTTGGTAAGGTTATAATAATACAAAATATTATCAGTAGGACAAATAATAATAAGAAATATAATAGTATTTACATTAATTTATTTATATACAAAGTAATAAATGCATTATCCAATCAATAGATGCCATGTAAGGTGAGATGGAATGATGAGATGGATTAGATGAGATGAATATCATTCTTTTTTTTGGTTAACATTTGCGTTTGATACTTCTCATCGAATTAATAATCTCCCGTGCGATAATGTCAGGGAAATAATTTTCACGTGAACAAAACACTGCTTGATTATTTTTTTATCTTTTAATTTAAAATAGGTTGAGGAAGTCCATACATCCATAGTTCTTTGATTCCATAAAAATTATTTTGAACTTAATTTATATTGGGTAAATGAGAGTTTCTACCTCGCTTTTTAGGACATCATGATTCATTCTTACCTGTAAAATTATAAAGAGTAGAATTCATGCCAACATTTTTTGTTGAGATTATTTGTCATGCCAAAATATTGCCCTGGTTTTTTGATTTTTTCCACCCAATAAAGGGAAACAAAGTATATATGTTACATTTTAAATTTTTATAAATTACGTTCATGTATCGGTAAGTTATATTTTCCAGATCATTAAATTAATTAATCCGATTATATGCATCAATTATATTATCATCATTTTTTTTTGGTAATCTGTGAATTTGTATTACGTCATGAACAAGTGTGAATATTTACATCTTTCAAGTTACATCAATGCCAATGCTAAGAGAAAACCGAATATTGTCTACTATTTCTACACTTGTATAAACTTGACCACTTAACCTCATTCTG